TGAACAACTGTTCGCTAAACGTTCTCTCTGAGATACTTGAAAGCGTAAGTAGACTACTTGTAACATCATCAAATGTACTTTAACGTGTAACCCAACTAAGCCAAACCTTGATAAAACTAAAAACTTTTCGTAATTTCTGTAAAACTTTTAATAAAATGATCAGAATATTTAACTCCATTCATATTTATACAATAACAATTGTTTAAAAATCCAAACTTTGAGATGCAATTATATTATTACAAAAAAAGAATAAATTGTCCAACAAAAATCGAAACAAACTATTAAAAAAAAAGAGATACAAGTCTTAAATTTACAATAACAAATACAATAATTATAAGTTGACATAAATCAGGTTGCAGTTGCCTTGTGGTATATAGGGTATATGGGGTAGATAGTGTAGTTAAGGTATATAGGGGCTAATATAAGGTTTCACTGATAAAGTGGCACGTTACCTTTAATCGTTTAATATGTCCATTTAATGTTTTCCACCTTTTATGGTCCAGTCAATCGTCTTATAACTAAATAATACGCTCCTCAGTGGCATAATCACGTCACTAGTCCATTCAAAATATATCTTCCAATGAAAGTCCTGGTCAAGTGACAAGTCTCAAATATCCGTGCAACAGAGTACAGCTCGCTTGTTTGAATTCAATTAAAATGAACACAAATAGATTAAAACAAATTACAATGAGGCCAATTAGATGGAATTTATTTAGAATTAAAGCAAATTAGAATGAAGCCAATTAGAATTAAACAAATGATAATGGAGCCAATTAGATTAAAACCAGTTAAAATTAAACCCATTAGACTTTTTTTTAATAAAATAAAATCAATTAGAATTAAACCAATAAGAAAGAAGACAATTTTAATATCTTAAATTATAATGAAACCAATAAGAATGAATCCTATAAGAATAAAATCAATTAGAATAAAATCACTGAAATAAAAACCAGTTAGAATGAAACCAGTTAGAATGAATGAAACCAAATAGAATGAATCAATTAGAATAAAAACAGTTAAAATGAAACCAGTTAGAATGAATGAAACCAAATAGAATGAATCAATTAGAATAAAACCAGTTAGAATGAAACCAGTTAGAATGAATGAATCCAAATAGAATGAATCAATTAGAATAAAACCAGTTAGAATGAAACCAGTTAGAATGAATGAAACCAAATAGAATGAATCAATTAGAATAAAACCAGTTAGAATGAAACCAGTTAGAATGAATGAAACCAAATAGAATGAATCAATTAGAATAAAACCAATAAGAATGAATCCTATAAGAATAAAATCAATTAGAATAAAATCACTGAAATAAAAACCAGTTAGAATGAAACCAGTTAGAATGAATGAAACCAAATAGAATGAATCAATTAGAATAAAACCAGTTAGAATGAAACCAGTTAGAATGAATGAAACCAAATAGAATGAATTAATTAGAATAAAACAAGTTAGAATGAAACCAGTTAGAATGAATGAAACCAAATAGAATGAATCAATTAGAATAAAACCAGTTAGAATGAAACCAGTTAGAATGAATGAAACCAAATAGAATGAATCAATTAGAATAAAACCAATAAGAATGAATCCTATAAGAATAAAATCAATTAGAATAAAATCACTGAAATAAAAACCAGTTAGAATGAAACCAGTTAGAATGAATGAAACCAAATAGAATGAATCAATTAGAATAAAACCAGTTAGAATGAAACCAGTTAGAATGAATGAAACCAAATAGAATGAATTAATTAGAATAAAACCAGTTAGAATGAAACCAGTTAGAATGAATGAAACCAAATAGAATGAATCAATTAGAATAAAACCAGTTAGAATGAAACCAGCTAGAATGAATGAAACCAAATAGAATGAATCAATTAGAATAAAAACAGTTAGAATGAAACCAGTTAGAATGAATGAAACCAAATAGAATGAATCAATTAGAATAAAACCAGTTAGAATGAAACCAGTTAGAATGAATGAAACCAAATAGAATGAATCAATTAGAATAAAACTAGCTAGAATGAAACCAGTCAGAATGAATGAAACCAAATAGAATGAATCAATTAGAATAAAACCGATTAGAATGAAACCAGTTAGAATGAATGAAACCAAATAGAATGAATAAATTAGAATAAAACTGATTAGAATGAAGACTATTAAAATAAAACCAATAAGAATGAAATCAATTTGCACAAACATTGTTTAAATGTTTGTTTGGTTAAGATGAGAATGGGATGGAGATATTTTTTAATGGTCGTTTGGTTAAAGTAAGAATGATATGGAGATCTGTTTTAATGTTTGTTTGGTGAAGGTTATATTGACATCCATATCTGTTTTAATGTTTGTTTGGTGAAGGTTAGATTGACATCCATATCTGTTTTAATGTTTCAAATCCAATTTTACGTTTGAACAGGCTTCTATCTCAACAAAATTAGTTTTTAAATACTTTCTGTTTAACAATATTCCCTTTTCAAGACTTGTTTTGTCCCATTGGTTTTGTAAAGATTTACATGACCACTCTAAGCAAAGACAAAAACATAACAAAAAGATGTAATGTATTTAATTTGTATTAAGTTATGCAATATAACTAACTTACTTGCGTATGTGCACTTATTAATTGGTGCACTTTGACCTCGTAAATTCACTTTTGGGGTGTCACCAATTGCATTCCTAAATTTCTAATGGACCCTATGAATTTACATTTGTTATTCCAATCATAGGTTAGCGATCTTTTAAAAAAATCATTGCTAACATATAATTTATATGTACGTCTTTATTTAACTTTTAATTAAAGGAATAACATTACTCTCTCAGTATATTACATACAATGCTTATTTCCCACCTTTTTTTGTCGTTGAATTGTAACTTTGTTCTAAATAACCTCTGTTACATATTAAGTTTACCTATGGTATATGTCTTCTGTGACATATGAAGTTTACCTTCATTACATATGATCTCTGCGACATACTAAATTTACCTATGGTATATGATGTCTGTGAAATATTAAGTTAAATTGTGATATATGACTTTGTTGGTGTATAAAGTTTACCTCATTATATAAGACCAATGTGACATATTAAGTTTACTTATGCATATAAATTCTCTGACATATACAAATTACCTTCATTATATATGACTTCTGGAACATATTTACATTTATCTTCGGTATAGGACGTCTGTGACATGTGAAGAATACCTTTATTTTATTTGACTTATGCAACATAATGTTTATTCACTTTATCTTCGCTGTGTATGAGTTCTTTATGTGGCACATAATTTTTACCTTTTTATCTGACTTTTGACATATGATATTTAATTACTTTAACTTCGTCCTATATGACTTCTGTTACAATGGAAGCTTCCATTCATTCTAATTGAGATCTGGGACTTAAAAAGCTTATTTCCTTAAATGATTTTTACGACACATGAAGCATGAACATTCTGTATGACATATATAACATCTAAAGATTATATTCATTATATATAATTTCTGTGACATATGAAATTTCTTTCGTTATATGACTTCTGTGACACATAAGTATTCTTCGTTTTTTATGACTCCTATGACATATACATTTTACCTTCTTTCTTTATGGCTATATGACATTTGGGACATAAATTTTATCTTCATTCTTTATAAATTATGGGACATATAATTTTGACCTTCACTCTATATAACTCCTGTGACATAATTATGCTTAAATTCATTCTAAATTACTCTTGTGACATATAAAGTTTTCTTCTTTATATATGACTCCTAGGACAAACACAAGTAACTTTGTTATAGCTGACTCTTGTGGCATATAAATTTTACATTCTTTCTATATGACTTCTGTGAAACATAAAGTTTACTTTCGTTCTATATGAATTATGACATATAAAGTTTACCTAGTTCATATTAATCACAATGTCATAAAAATGTCAATCATTTAGTTTACATTCCCATTCGTTAATTTGTTTTAAACTTATTGTTAGTGCAAATGAAAACCACATCCAGTTTATTACTTTGCTGTAGGATTAACATAAGTTTAACATACTGTGACTGAACTAGTGTAAGGGTAGCATTATTATACCATTTTGTGAATTAACAACTGTAGGGGTAACATTAGTGTACCGTACCGTGAATGAACTACTGTAAGGATAACATTAGTATATTGTATATCGTACATAAGAATGCCATACTGTGAATGAACTAGTGTAGAGTTAACATTAAAATAACGTAATGTAAATGATCTACTACTGGGGTAAAATTAGAATGACGTTCTGTGAATGAACTACTTCTGGGGTAACATTAGAATAACGTAATGTCAATGAAATAGTTCGGTAAAAACCGATAAGTGATACTGTACTCTATTTTCATGTTAACAATTATTTTTTGTTCTATTTGTGTCAGTCATTTTAATTTAACTATGTTGTTTATATATAAAGGTTAAAAATGCCTCTTTCCAGTATTGCGTTCAAACAGCTTAAGGGCAGTGCTTATTTATTATCTAGAAATAAGCATTTATTAGGATTTCTTTAATAAATTGTACACAGCACTCGCAGTTACTCGTGATGCGCGACTGTTTCTGAAATGTAAGCTCTCTAGAGTTCGAGGTATTCCTGTATTTGAAATGGCAAGACTGGGAGTTAGAGAAGATGATGGCGCCACATTTACAACTTATTAAAATCCACTTTATTTTTATTGGACTTTAACAATTACTTTTCCAAATAAAATGAACTTAAGAAATCATTTTTAATTTATTCCCTAATAATTAATAATAAATGCAGATAGTATTGAGTAGGACCTCATATATCAGGGCCATAACTAAAAGTTGCATTTAATTATTATTTTTAAATAGATAAATACTAAAAAAGAGTATGTTTTATCTTAATTGTATATTTTCATTTATGAAGACTCTATGAATTTCTTAGATAAAAGACCCGTCTCTAAACCAAACTGTAAATGTTAGTGAGCTAACGCAGAAACTGAAAGCGTCATTAAATCAAAGTAGTCACTTAATTCCAAGAGATGTCCAAATGGTGCTTCAGATACTTGAAGTGTTGTCCAAGACTTTGATGACTATCGAATCTTTCGAGGTAAATTTATTTTTATATCATAAGGTATGTCGAGTTAGAGAGTCGAACTGAGATTTTCTTACAAAATTAAAATACGTAGATACAAATTATGAGACCAATATACTATAACTATAACATATTATAACGAAATGAATTTTTGATGACTGTTCCCCATAATTGTTTTTGATTAAAGTATACCTAAATTAAAGAATGGAAGTTAGAAGATTTTAAACTATAGCTCTGCCAGAAAGAAATATTAAGAAATTTGATGAAAATACGAAGGAAGCTTACTGGAAAGTTTGCGTTAAGGGAATACAATTTCCTATTTGACCAGTAACCATCAGAGCTCTACAGAAGAGTCAACACCATTTAAGTCAGGGATGAATCCTTAGACACCACCTTTGTAAAAAATGATTAAAATTAGAATCCGCTGTTTGATGAAGTTCAAGTCAATAAGAGAAGGATGGATGACTTACGAAAGCTGTTCATTTCTGCTGATAGGACTGTACTAAATAGTTAAAATGCACAAGGCAGACAGAAGCCAGGGCACACAGAAGCAAGTTCACACAGAAGCCAATATCCTTGATGAAGAATTTCGAAATGCAATAAGACAAAATACGAAAAAGGAGAATGAATATGTAGATGAATAAAATGCAGTAGCAATCTTGCTTGTGGACTATGTATCATCTAATGGCTCAAAATCATATTTCAAAAGTGTTGAAAGGAGGAAGTGGCACTGTAAACTATAATATTATAGGGACATCTCTATCATCAAAAACTCTCTTAAAATATTTGCGGAAATCTCTGACAAGTGACAAGAGCAATAGTTCAACCACTTATGAGCAATGCCCATTTTTGGTCATATACAGCAAAAAGGTTAAACTGTATCAATCTTCACACTCCAACAATGGTTAATGAATGACTGCATCGCCTGGTTAATTTCGACCAGGAAAAAAACTATGGCCAGCGTGACAGACATAAGTTCTGTGAAAGGCTGGAGTAATGCAGAGCAAAGTGACATTTCTTATATGCTCAATACTATCAGGGGACTCTATATGAGCATGGGGCTCTATATTATAAATTGGGCTCTATACTATCAGAAACTCTATACCAACAGCGGGCCCTATATTACCTTAAGGCTCCATAATATCAGGAGGCTTTATACTATCAGGGGGTTTAATGCTATTAAGGGGATATATACTATCAGGGAGCTCTATGCTATTAGGGGGATCTATGCCATTATGGGTTATATATTATTAGGGACTATATTCTAACATGGGGCTCTATACTATCTAGAGACTCAATACTATCAGGGGGTTCTATATTATCAAGGGGTTCCATACTATCAGGGGGCTGTATACTATCAGGTAGCTCTATACCAACAGAAGGCTCTATAATATCAGTGGGTTCTATATTATCAATGAGTTAGTTAAGATACTATTCTTTTATTGATCCAAATAAATGGACATGTTTTTTGCATTGCATTATACATCTTGAGCATATAAATAAAACAATGTGAACACAAGACATGTATAATAATTTATCTCAAACAGCCATTCAGTGAGCCCTCTTAGCCAAATCAGGGACTCATTAGTTCTCAGAGGGAACACGCCGGTAAATTCGTATAGATTTGGGAACAAATGCTTTTTTATATCTTTCAGTCCTCGCCTTGATGGAACAATTTTTTTTCCGATTGGCCTGGTCCTAATTATCTGTGATGAAAAGGGTGTGATGTATCATCGTAAATGTGCTTAGTTTTACAAAGACTTCTTTTTGTCAAATAGTTCTTTTAGTGAAGGATGTTTAGTTTGTGTGATGTTCCTACCTTTCTTGATTAGTATGTTTATGCGGTGTTTAATATCAACAATGAATTTTAACACCAGTAGGTAATACTGAAATGAAGTAGGCTTCTATTGTTTCACTGTAGAATAAGTGAAGGACTTTTCTGTTTACCCCGAAAATGTACAGTTTATTTTTTTACAAAGAACAGTCTTTGGTTGAATTTCTTATACATCATTTGGCCGTGTCATGCCATGTTAGCTTATTATTAATTGTGACACCTATGTACTTTTATGCCTCCACTTTCTCTACACTTTGATTTTTTTATGTTGAGATCTGTAATCTGGTGTCCCCCCCCCCCTGAAATCAACAACCATTTCCTTTGTTTTTGAGATATTCAATTGTCATCGCACCAATTGATAAATTGCGGTATAGGCCTTCTCCTTCAGATATTAAGCCAACAATGGTGGTATCGTCAGAAAATTTTAATATTGGAAAGGTGTCTCGTTAGCTTTGAATATCAATGGTATATATGGTATAAAGTACAGAACAGAGAACGCAGCCTTGTGTTGCACCGGTGCTTATTTCTCAGGTTAGAGATAATTGGTTATTTACTTTGAAATGTTGTGGTCGTTTTTTTAGTAAGTTCAGTATCCAAGCCTGAATATTTAAATTGTCACCTAACAAGGAAAGTTTCTTAATCATAAGGTTTGGTTGAATAGTGTTAAATGCTGATGAAAAGTTTAAGAAAAGCACTCTAGCATATATTTTAGGGCTGTCTAGGTGATGATAAAGTCTTTCAAACAATGGTAAGATTGCACCTACTGTGCCTCTAGCAGGTTTATAAGCAAATTTGTGGGGGACAAATTTTAGCTGTCCTTTATTTAAAATTTCTTTCAGAATTATTTTCTCAAAACATTTCATTATTATAGAGGTAAGTGCAACAGGTCGTAAGTCGTTGTTGCACGTTACTTTATTTTTCTTTGGAACTGGTATGATTTCTGGAGTTTTCCAAATGACTGGTATTGTGTGAGTTACATAAGATTTATGAAATATGTGACAAACAATGTAAGAGACCATCTCTGATCATAGTTTAATGAGCCGACCACTTAATTTGTCTGATCCCGAGGCATTGGCTGCTTCCACTTGTTTAAATAATGACACCACTCCTTGTTCGGTGAACAATAATGTACCATCCTGTGAACTACTGCCATCTTGAAATAAATTCATTATCTCATAGTGTACATTGCAAAGTCCAGGCTGTCAAAACGACCATAAAAGTCATTTTAGTCGTAAGCACAATTCCTCAAGTCCTCAACATATAAGCATTGTCGCTTAGGAGTATATCCTGTTTTTTTGCATTAGTCCTGCCCAAAAAGCTTTTGAGTTGTTAATATGGATCAATTTTTCGAAATTTTTGTTTCTATTGGTTCTTCCCATGATAAATATTTTTATTCAATATTTTTTTTAGCTTTAATCAAATCCTGATCGTTCATCAAAAACCTGTATGGTGTAAGGCCTCCTTTTTTTCTTTGCACATCCAGGGTTTATTGTTGTTGAATACTCGGATTGTTTTTTGGGAATGATTTCTTCTACACAGAACTTAATGTAGGAATTGACGGTGTTGGTTATCTCGTCAATGTCCGGGCAAATATTTATAAACGTGTCCAAATCTGTACATTACAAACAACCTTGACGTTTTTTTGTCGCCTAATCTGACCACAGTTCAGTAGGTTTGTCTGAATTTTTGTTGTTTCTAACACTGGCTTATAGCATGGCATTAGGCGGACAATAGTGTGGACGGATTATCCTAAAGGAAATAAAGGAAGACATGTGTAGGTCTTTTTTATAATACCATAACACACATCCAGAGTTCGGTGTTGTCGCGAGGGGCAAGTAACGTATTAGGTGTATGTCCTATAAGGTCAAGAGACTATACTATCAGGGTACTCTATATTATCAAGGGGTTTTATACTATTAAGGGGTCCTATATTTTCAGGGGTTCTATACTATCAGGATAATCCATACGATCAGAATGCTCTCTACTATCATGGGGCTCGATAGTATCATGGGGCTATATACTATCAGGGTGTTATAAACAATCAGGGGGCCCTTTACTATCAGGGGGCCCAATACTATCAGGGGGCTCTAAACTATCAGGGGGCTCTATACTATCACTTGTATCATGGGGCTCTATACTATCTTCGGGCTCTATACTATCAGGGGCTATATACAATCAGGGTAATATAGACTATCAGGGGGCTCTACACTATCAGGGGCCTCTATTCTATCAGGGGCTCTATATTATCATGATGCTCTAAATTATCAGGAGGCTCTATACTATCAGGGGCTGTATATTATCATTGGGCTCTATATTATTATGATGCTCTATACTATTAGGAGACACTATTATATCAGGAGGCTCTATACTATCAGGAGGCTCTATCATATCAGGAGGCTCTATACTATCAGGAGTCTCTATGTTATCAAAAGGCTCTATACTATCAGAAGGCTCCATTATATCAGGAGGCCCTATACTATCAGGAGGCCCTATACTATCAGGGGGCTCTGTACTATCAGTTACTAGCCGAATGCAGGTCAGCTACTTTTGTCGGATGACATCTGGAAGAGCCGTCACTTTAGTCTCTGGACATCTGGTATACAGGCTACATTAGCTGTTGGACATCTGAAATTGAGGCTTCTGTAGCTGCTGAGCATCTGGAATACATACTAATTTATTGCTTGCCATATGACAAAGCGTCTGCTTCAGACGCAGGACATCTGGGAGAAAGGCAACAGTAGCTGCTGACAGACATACCAATTTAGTCATTGGACATCTTGCAGACAGGCTACATTGGCTTTTGGACATCTGAAAGAAAGGCTGCTGCAGATGCTGGACCCCTAACATCCATAAAACTCTGACATGACATTAGGCTAGATATGTGTAAAAGAATGTTAAAATCCTTTATATTAACTTCGCTTTTGTTTGTGGATGACAAAATCTTCGAACCGCTAATTGACTCAAATAAATTCTACCTTTCGAGGTGAAATTTTCCACATAGACTCGTTTCCGAAGAAAAGACATTCTGTCAAATAGTCTAACCCACTCCTAACCCCTTGTTTTTCAAGGGAAAGAAAAAGACAACACAATGTCTTTGAAATTACGAAATTAGATTGTTTTTTTGTTTTTTTAAATATCGCAAGTGCTTTTGGTGCGTAATATGTTATAGTATTATGAAAATGTTAGTAAAATAACTTTGCAGTGTTAAAGTGGGTATTTTATCAGAAGATTAATGTTGTTCAGGAGCGTTGAAGGAAAACTGTGTGTTTGCTAGCCTTGGGGAAAGGGGACTAACTGTGATTCTTATTAAATGCCTTTCTTATGTGAATTCTTTGTCAAATTTCCAGCACCACCTCCACTGCTCGATATAACAAAAAATGTTTTGAGATGATGCTTGTTTAAACAAATCTAGTGTTTACAATTTGACAGCAAATAATTTATCTTTTGGAAAAAAAAGTATTTGCCCTAAAGCGCATATATATAAATATAAATATATATATATATATANAATCTATTTAACTTTGAAAAAAAAGTATTTTATTTATGTATTTCGCGTAGTAATTTCCTTCATGAAATAGCTGAAGTATTCCCATATAAAATGAATTTTATTTAGGATCTGATTGATTCCATTGATGTCTTAATGAGGAGCGATCTCAGTGAAAAAGATGCGCAGCATATCATCCTTTTAGGCGACATTATTCTCAAGAATTCATTGAGCATCATAGGGTTACAGAGGAATTATAGATTAACTACTCGGACTATAAGTAAGACTTTGTAATATATATATACACTAAAGTTTTGTTTTTCTTTCTATAAATTAATATTTTCACAAATAAAATAAATCAAAATTTCAGAAAGTTCAAAACTTAGAAAAAATTTGGTGCTTTTGTGACTTATACAGGCGACTGAATCTGCTCGCATTGGCGAAAAAAATATCAAAATTGAACTCGCAATAAGTGTAGAGACTGCAATCAGGTTACCACAATAAAAAATTAGAAAAACAAAGTAAGGTTAAACCTGAAAAAGGAACGCAACATAAAAAAAAAAGACGAACGTGTCTGCTGAAAGCATTCGTCAGCAACAGAAAAGACATAATAACATTAAAATTTTAAAAAAAACAGGACTTAGCTTAGAAGTAGCAAATGAATTGTGGCAGCAAGTAAGTGGGTGAGAGATTATTGCATGATTATAATCAAAATCAGAGTTAGTATTGCTGCCTTTCTCTACCATGTAGCTTTTTTGAAGTTGAAGTCTCTACATCAAAAGATTTAATTTCCAAACATTAAAAATATTTGGATAAGCCATTGATACTGACATCTGGTTTAACATGAAACATTTGAAAGAAAGATCTAATTACAGGGAAAAGAATATACAATTAAAAGAGAAAGGCAGGCGAATATTTTAAGTGAAAATAAGGATGCCGACAAAAAGGTGGGAGTATTTTTGTATAAATTATACATTTTAAATTTCTGACTTAAAGTATTCCTCATTAAATTCTTTTTTAGAAGACATATAAAAAGATATAAATTGAAAAACAATTAAAATAATTAAATTTAAACAGTCTGAAGTCTAAAGCGAAATGAAAACATTGAGAATGCCAATTCCTTCTGAAGGCTGAATTGCGCTCCAAAGTGGTTGTTGATGATTGTAAACTTAGTGTTGATTTGTAATTTTCAAGGTTTTATCACATACAAATAAACTTTTTCGTAACAAAATATAGTTTTACTTAAAGATAAACATTAAAATACAACAACACAAATTTATTACCTAAATAATAGACATTCCAAAACAACACAAATATTCTACCTAAAGAATAGATGGTCCTAATAACACGTATTTACTTCTTCAGTATAAAATATTCCAATAGACATCTATTTATCACTTAACTATATAGTGTTTAATCTAAACACACATTTACTATTTAATCAATCCATTAAAACATATTTTTTTAAATAGTTAAAACATATAGTCTTTAAAATGAAAATGAAACAAAAGTGTGAAGCCCACCAATAAATAGAGTCCATATTCACTCAAATTCTCATACAAAGATAACACATATGTTTAAGTTCATCTTGCCATTCATTCTTTGTAGCACTCAGAGAGTTTATTTGCTATTGCCTTGCCAAATGTAAGGTGGACATTTTAAGAATAAAATTGTGAAGCATCCATGCCACTTCTATTAAAAGTAAGGTTACGACAGAAGTTGTAATCACACATCAAAAAAGTATTCGGACAAAAACTCAGTTGACACACGTTAAAAATAATAAAATAAAGATACAACTATAAAGTAAATAAAAATTAAAATGTGATGACCTTCCTGCATTCCAAACATAGAAACACAAGCTGACATTGTCTAAAAATCATTTTCATTCACTGTGTGCAATAAGGCACATGGAGATGAATGAATAATGAAAAAAAAAAAAAAAAAAAGATAAATACTTTCTTAAAAGTTTTGTATACAGCCTATGACGATGAATGAATTATGCTTGTGAAAAAGATAGATACGTGATAAAACATTTGTTTTTCTTCTCTTATACCAGACGCAGTAGTACGACAAGTAAAATTTGAAGAGGAATTTATAACTGGCTTAAACTCAACCATTAAGATGCTTGGAGATGGTCAAGACAAAAACAGTAATTATTAAAATGTGTTTGCATAGTAATTTAAGTCCTATAGACAACCAAATACAAAAACTCTTATTCAAGCAGCTTAGCAAAATATTCTGTATGTATTTTTAAAATATTGATGTTCATAATTTCTTTGGTGAAATTAATTAAAATGATCCTTTCAACAATGTAGGTTTGTACTTCATGGCCTCGCCAACTACTTTTATTTTTAAACTTTAAATATAAAACTTAAAATAGAACAACATGGTCCTGTGTAAGAAATAGGGGTAATGGGTGTGATTTTTTTTTCTTAGACCTACTATTTCAATGTAGCAAAAATATTTTAAAAATACCTTTTTTATTTATTATCTATTTTCCTTCAAACACTTCAAAATACATATTATTTGAATACAATATTTTCACCCCTATCTAGAGACTTACTTTTGCGGATTAATGGTCTTCCAGAATTTCCAGTCACTACTCCTTAACAATGGGTAAGCCTTGTAATAAGAACATATTAAGAATAATTTAATTTGTGCTTTCGTATGATATGCGTCATTATATATATATATATATATATATATATATATATATATATATATATATATATAGGCCTATATACATACATATCGAAACATTGAGCTTAATAATGCACATATAAGTTAGACTCAAACTTTATGATGTATAAAAATCGCAACAATGAGCAAATTAATGCAAGTATAGGTTACATTCAAACGTTCTAATGTATTGGATTACATATCGTAACAATGAAACGAGTAGTGCAAGTATAAGTTAGACTCAAACTTTCTAATGAATACATATCGAAACAAAGAGCCAAGTAATGAAAGTATAGGTTACATTTAGCGTTCTTACGTATACAGATCGTAACATTGATTTAAGTAATGCAAGTAGTGTTTAGATTTAAACGTAATCATATATAAATATTATAAATATGAACCCAGTAATGCAAGTATAGGTTAAATTCAAATATTAGTGTAGCATAGTTATAGTTTCATTGTTAATTTGGCCAAACTTCAAAAGACTATGAAATTATAACCAAGAAATCTAAGTGATTACCTTAGATCTTTAATTTAATGATGGTAATCTTTGATTGTTTACTTTAAACAAAAAAAGAACAGATAATTATCTTTGTGTTCTAAAAATCATTCTCCACCAGAAACTACTGTCTTTGTAAACCTGCAAATGTTGAAAAACAAGATGTGATCCTAATGAGAGGATGAATTATGTTAAATAGATCAAAGCATAAAGGACGTCATATGTACCTTCATATGTTTGACTGAAATAGTAATCTGTTATACATCAACTTTTAATCCTGTCATTGAAGTAGCAAAGCTGTGCTTCTTGTCCTTACACTATATAAGTAAAGTTATTTTTGATTAAATAAATCATTTTAATTTTTAATATCTTTTCAAATCTGTTTAATCTCCACTGTATACTTGAGCTCGTCAAATCAATTGAAAATTTCATGAATATATTTATTAAGAGGTTGAAATTTCTGCCAAATAGTATTGACCTCAACGTGCTCATTTTTCTTACAACTAGAAACCAGAGGAAAAATATGATGGCACTGTCAGTCCTGCCAGCACTTGGCCTTAATAATAAGGTTGAAATTACCTTTAAGAACTTAATGGTCAGTATTGGATTATATTTTTATATTAAAACATCGCCTGTTTTATTTAAATTATTGTGGTCAATCGTGTTCTTCTCAAAAGTTGATAGAAATTAATGAGAATTTATTTTTATTGAAATTAAATTTTCTATTTTAGCCTACATCTATAAGGTTCTTTATCAGATTAGAATTATTCAATGCACCGAGAAAACGAACACAAATCAAATATATAATCTAAAAATTAAATGTGTCCTATGAACCACTAAATTCTTTAGTTGACAACTGATAATAGTTTTACAACTGTATAAAACACTTACATATGGCATTTTTCTAGATCTCATCAAACCAGGCTGTACCAAATAGTCGGCCAAAGTTACTTCATGTTAAAAAAAGAAGACATTAGTATGTACCTTTATTAAACAGCATTTTATGCTAGTGAAGTATGTAAGATGGAAATCTACCTTCCTTACTAAAAGCTTTGAAATTTACTAGCATAAACGTTCTTAACAGCTTAACAGTTTTAAAGCTGTTAGATATCTCCAAGAAACATCGGAATTTGATCCAAATGTGTACAGTGAATACTTGCATATAGAACGTTTCACTTAAATTAAATAATTTGAGGTCAAATGTGTACAGTGAAGACTTGCATATCGAACTTTTCATTTTAATGAAATAATTTGATGTCAAATGTGTACAGTGAAGACTTGCATATCGAACTTTTCACTTTAATGAAATAATTTGATGTCAAATTTGTACAGTGAAGACTTGCATATCGAACTTTTCACGTTAATGAAATAATTTGATGTCAAATGTGTACAGTGAAGACTTGCACATTGAACGTTCCACTTTAATGAAATAATTGGTTATCGAAAACTTTTTGCCAACACATTTTGTCTGGATTAATGAATGACACTTCGAATACGAGCATACGCATCCGTCGTTCAAGAAATCAATTACAGTAATGAGATATGTGTGGTAGCAATTGGAGCTTTTGTGTCGTAGTGAGACCTTGGTGCAGTAGTGAGAGCTTGGTGCAGTAGTGGGAGCTTGGGTGCAGTAGTGAGAGCTTGGGTGCAGTAGTTAAAGCTTTGGTGTCGTAGTCAGAGCTTTGGTGCCGTAGTCAGAGCTTTGGTGCCGTAGTCAGAGCTTTGGTGCCGTAGTCAGAGTTTTGGTGCCGTAGTCAGAGCTTTGGTGCAGTAATAAGATCTTTGGGTTAGCATTGAGAAGTGTGATGCAGTAGTGACAGCTTTGGTGCAGGAGTGACAGCTTTGGTGCCATAGTGACAGCTTTGGAGCAGTAGTGAGGGCTTTGGTGCAGTAGTGACAGCTTTGGTGCAGTAGTGAGGGCTTTGGTGCAGTAGTGAGGGCTTTGGTGCAGTAGTGAGGGCTTTGGTGCAGTAGTGAGGGCTTTGGTGCAGTAGTGAGGGCTATAGTGCAGTAGTGACAGCTTTGGTGCAGTAGAGACAGTTTCGGTGCAGTAGTGAGGGCGTTGGTGCAGTAGTGAGGGCTTTGGTGCAGTAGTGAGGGCTTTGGTGCAGTAGTGAGGGTTTTGGTGCAGTAGTGAGGGCTTTGGTGCAGTAGTGAGGGCTTTGGTTCAGTAGTGACAACTTTGGTGCAGTAGTGAGGGCTTTGGTGCAGTAGTGAAGGTTTTGTTGCAGTAGTGAGGGCTTTGGTGCAGTAGTGAGGGCTTTGGTGCAGTAGTGACAGCTTTGGTGCAGTAGTGAGGGCTTTGGTGCAGTAGTGACAGCTTTGGTGCAGTAGAGACATCTTTGGTGCAGTAGTGAGGGCTTTGGTGCAGTAGTGACATCTTTGGTGCAGTAGTGAGGGCTTTGGTGCAGTAGTGATATCTTTGGTGCAGTAGTGAGGGCTTTGGTGCAGTAGTGACATCTTTGGTGCAGTAGTGACAGCTTTGTTGCAGTAGAGACAGCTTTGTTGCAGTAGTGAGAGCTTTGGTGCAGTAGTGAGAGCTTTGGTGCAGTAGTGAGGGTTTTGGTGCGGTAGTGAGGGCTTTGGTGCAGTAGTGAGGGTTTTGGTGCAGTAGTTAGGGCGTTGGTGCAGTAGTGAGGGCTTTGGTGCGCTAGTGAGGGCGTTGGTGCAGTAGTGAGAGCTTTGGTGCAGTAGTGAGGGCTTTGGTGCAGTAGTGAGGGCTTTGGTGCAGTAGTGAGGGCGTTGGTGCAGTAGTGAGGGCTTTGGTGCAGTAGTGAGAGCTTTGGTGCAGTAGTGAGAGCTTTGGTGCAGTAGTGAGGGTTTTGGTGTAGTAGTGAGGGTTTTGGTGCAGTAGTGAGGGTTTTGGTGCAGTAGTGAGGGCTTTGGTGCAGTAGTGAGGGCTTTGGTGCAGTAGTGAGAGCTTTGGTGCAGTAGTGAGAGCTTTGGTGCAGTAGTGAGAGCTTTGGTGCAGTAGTGAGGGTTTTGGTGCAGTAGTGACAGCTTTGGTGCAGTAGTGAGAGCTTTGGTGCAGTAGTGAGGGTTTTGGTGCAGTTGTGACAGCTTTGGTGCAGTAGTGAGGATTTTTGATGCAGTAGTGAGGGTTTTAGTGCAGTAGTGAGGGTTTTGGTGCAGTAGTGACAGCTTTGGTGCAGTAGTGAGAGCTTTGGTGCAGTAGTGAGGGCTTTGGTGCAGTAGTGAGGGCGTTGGTGCAGTAGTGAGAGCTTTGGTGCAGTAGTGAGGGTTTTGGTGCAGTAGTGAGGGCTTTGGTGCAGTAGTGACGGCTTTGGTGCAGTAGTGAGGGCTTTGGTGCAGTAGTGAGAGCTTTGGTGCAGTAGTGAGAGCTTTGGTGCAGTAGTGAGGGTTTTGTTGCAGTAGTGAGGGCTTTGGTGCAGTAGTGAGGGTTTTGGTGCAGTAGTGAGGGCTTTGGTGCAGTAGTGAGGGCTTTGTTGCAGTAGAGACAGCTTTGGTGCAGTAGTGACAGCTTTGGTGCAGTAGTGAGAGCTGTGGTGCAGTAGTGAGGGTTTTGGTGCAGTAGTGACAGCTTTGGTGCAGTAGTGAGAGCTTTGGTGCAGTAGTGAAGGTTTTGGTGCAGTTGTGACAGCTTTGGTGCAGTAGTGAGGGTTTTTGATGCAGTAGTGAGGGTTTTATTGCAGTAGTGAGGGTTTTGGTGCAGTAGTGACAGCTTTGGTGCAGTAGTGAGAGCTTTGGTGCAGTAGTGAGGGCTTTGGTGCAGTAATGAGGGTTTTGGTGCAGTAGTGAGGGTTTTGGTGCAGTAGTGAGGGCTTTGGTGCAGTAGTGAGAGCTATGGTGCAGTAGTGAGCGTTTTGGTGCAGTAGTGAGGGCTTTGGTGCAGTAGTGAGGGCTTTGGTGCTGTAGTGACAGCTTTGGTGCAGTAGTGAGAGCTTTGGTGCAGTAGTGAGGGTTTTGGTGCAGTAGTGACAGCTTTGGTGCAGTAGTGACAGCTTTGGTGCAGTAGTGAGGGCTTTGGTGCAGTAGTGAGGGCTTTGGTGCAGTAGTGAGGGCTTTGGTGCAGTAGTGACAGTTTTGGAGCAGTAGTGAGGGCTTTGGTGCAGTAGTGAGGGCTTTGTAGCAGTAGTGAGGGTTTTGTTGTAGTAGTGAGGGTTTTGGTGCAGTAGTGAGGGTTTTGGTGCATTAGTGAGGGTTTTGGTGCTGTAGTGACAGCTTTGGTGCAGTAGTGAGAGCTTTGGTGCAGTTGTTAGGGTTTTGGTGCAGTAGTGACAGCTTTGGTGCAGTAGTGACAGTTTTGGTGCAGTAGTGAGGGTTTGTTGCAGTAGTGAGGGCTATAGTGCAGTAGTGACAGTTTTGTTGCAGTAGAGACAACTTTGGTGCAGTAGTGAGGGCTATAGTGCAGTAGTGACAGCTTTGTTGCAGTAGAGACAGCTTTGGTGCAGTAGTGAGGGCTTTGGTGCAGTAGTGAGGGCTTTGGTGCAGTAGTGAGGGCTTTGGTGCAGTAGTGAGAGCTTTGGTGCAGTAGTGAGGGCTTTGGTGCAGTAGTGAGAGCTTTGGTGCAGTAGTGAGGGCTTTGGTGCAGTAGTGACAGCTTTGGTGCAGTAGTGACAGCTTTGTTGCAGTAGAGACAGCTTTGTTGCAGTAGTGAGAGCTTTGGTGCAGTAGTGAGAGCTTTGGTGCAGTAGTGAGGGTTTTGGTGCAGTAGTGAGGGCTTTGGTGCAGTAGTGAGGGTTTTGGTGCAGTAGTGAGGGCTTTGGTGCAGTAGTGAGGGCTTTGGTGCAGTAGTGAGGGCGTTGGTGCAGTAGTGAGGGCTTTGGTGCAGTAGTGAGGGCTTTGGTGCAGTAGTGAGGGCTTTGGTGCAGTAGTGAGGGCTTTGGTGCAGTAGTGAGGGCTTTGGTGCAGTAGTGAGAGCTTTGGTGCAGTAGTGAGGGCTTTGGTGCAGTAGTGAGGGCTTTGGTGCAGTAGTGAGGGCTTTGGTGCAGTAGTGAGGGCTTTGGTGCAGTAGTGAGGGCTTTGGTGCAGTAGTGAGAGGTATGGTTCAGTAGTGAGGGCTTTGGTGCTGTAGTGAGGGCTTTGGTGCAGTAGTGAGGGCTTTTGTGCAGTAGTGAGGGCTTTGTTGCCATAGTGACATTTTTGGTGCAGTAGTGAGGGCTTTCGTGGAGTAGTGAGGGCTTTGGTGCAGTAGTGAGGGCTTTTGTGCAGTAGTGAGGGCTTTGGTGCAGTAGTGAGGGCTTTGGTGCAGTAGTGAGGGCTTTGGTGCAGTAGTGAGGGCTTTGGTGCAGTAGTGAGAGCTTTGGTGCAGTAGTGAGGGCTTTGGTGCAGTAGTGAGGGCTTTGGTGCAGTAGTGAGGGCTTTGGTGCAGTAGTGAGGGCTTTGGTGCAGTAGTGAGGGCTTTGGTGCAGTAGTGAGGGCTTTGGTGCAGTAGTGAGGGCTTTGGTGCAGTAGTGAGGGCTGTGGTGCAGTAGTCAGAGCTTTTGTGCTGTAATAAGAGCTTTGGGGTAGCATTGAGACTTTCGGTGAAGTAGTGCGAGATTTGTTACTTTTGTAGAAACTTCATCGGTCCATGAGTCTTGAAAAAAAACAATACATTTTTTCTTACACTTTTTTCCGTTATACGCCTATTGACAACATTGTAGTATTTGAAGAGAAATGTGTTATTTTAGACAATGTTATGGTACCTAAACTGAAATTAATAGAAATTCTGATAGTGTTGAAGTAAAGAAACAAATTATATCAAAACTACGTATAGGCTTTAAGTTTTATAACCTATAGGTTGTAATGGTAATAAAAAATATGTTTCAAATGTTATAAGTTATAAACCATATGTTTCTAATGTTATAATCAATAGGATTCAAGTTTTATAACCGATAGATGTCAAGTTGTATAATCTATAGATTTCAAGTGTTATAACCTATAGGTTTCAAGTGATATAATATCAAGGTTTTGAGTGTTATAACTTATAGGTTGTATGTGTTATAATCTTTAGTTTTTAATTTGTAACATTTTATTTCATACATTTCCTTTCTTTTTAATTTACAGACTCAGGGGTATGAGATAAGATGCGAAGTCTTAGTGCATGAAAGGTAATGTATATTAGGAATAGTATTTAGACGTTTCGATTATTATATAATAGGAGTATTTAGACATTATGACTAATGACTGTTAGGAAGAGTATTTATACATTATAATTTATATATGTTAGGAAGAGTTTTTAGAAATTATGACAAAAATATGCTAGGAATAGTATTTAGAAAGTATGAATTATATATTTTAGGAATGTCATTTAGACACTAGGACTTATACATATATATTAAAAGCCTATTTATATATTATGACTAATATATAGATAAGAAGAAGTTTTCTAGCTATTATGACTAGAATATAGTAGGAATAGTAACCAACTTACCAATGAGATAGAAGTATAGAATATATCTTGACCCGCTTTTAGGTTTTACAAAAAAATATATATGCACGTGATGCGATCCTAAAAAAACGAACCAATGTTAACTAAGCTCAATGTAGCCTAGGAAGCTGATTGGCTTAGTAATACAATATGCACGTGACCTAATGGCCACCTCTAATAATTGTTTATGCCAAAAGTAAAACTTAATCACTAGTTGATATCGCCAAAAAAATGTTTTACCTGATATTTGAACACATTTAGCCACGTTTCAAAATAACTTTAGACTAATACAAGTTAGTAATGACTTTTCATACAACTTTAGTACATTGTGCTAAATACTATTTACACAACTTTAGTACATGGTGCTAAATACTATTTATACATCTTTAGTGCAGGGTGCTAAATTGATAATAGAACCCTCTCAATCCCAAGAACCAAAACTAAGACAATCGGTGAACCCTCCTTCTACTTCCATGGGCCCACGTTCTGGAACCTGCTCCCTTCCATATCCGTCATTGTGAGACCTCATCCACTTTTAAAAAGTCCCTTAAAACCCATCTGTTTAGGTCCGCCTATGACCTGTGATGCACCCGCCTTGCCCTGCCTCATGTTCTGTCTCGGGTTGATCCTGTAGTATAGGCCAAAACGTGCCAAAGTTAACTCGTTTTATAGCCATTTTCATTGTTTCTATAGTATAGTAGTTACTATCCTAGTGTCTCATTTTTATTTTACTTAGTTTACATGTTTTTAATAATTGTACAGCGCTTAGAGCTTTAAGGTAAGCGCTTTATAAAAAAAAATGCCTAAATAAAATACTATTTACACAACTTTAGTAGAAGTTGTTAAATACTAATTTTACAACTTTAGAACTGGGTGCTAAATAATATTTACTCAACTTTAGTACATGATGTTAAATATTATTTACACAACTTGAGTACAGGGTTATAGCACTATTTACACACTTGTATTACAGGATGTTAAATACAATTTAAACAAATTTAGTAGAGGATGTTAAATACTATTTAGTTCTGTCCTTTGGGGTTTGCTGGGATAAACCAACAACTTCAACCTCGTGGTCAGCATAACCCGACAACTTTTAACAGGAATCTAAATCTATGCCTTTCACCAATGGCGATATGTCAGCACCATCCACGCTATCCATTTCAATGTCAACTGACGGACCAATTAACAATTCACTGTCATCCTTATTACTGGCAGTATGACAGCACAGTCCATACTATCCATTTTAAAGTCAACTGATGGACCAATTAAAAACTCACTGTCATACTTATTACTGGCGGTATGACAGCAAAGTCCACGCTATCCATTTTAACGTCAACTGATGGACCAATTAACAACTCACTGTCATACTTATTACTGGCGGTATGACAGCAAAGTCCACGCTATCCATTTTAACGTCAACTGATGGACCCATTAACAACTGACTGTCATACTTATTAATGGCGGTATGACAGCACTGTTCACGCTATCCATTTTAACGTCAACTGAAGGACCAATTAATAACTCACTGTAATACTTATTAAAACACATTGAGTCATCAGCAGGGGCAATAATATAATTTTGCTCCTCAGTATCTTTAGCCATGAACTGAGGTTGTGAGGCCAACTCAAGCTCGTGGTTAGAGTCATGAGTGCGTCTAGCATTGCAGTTCTTATCCCATATTCGTCAATATTTTTTTTTTCACTTTCATTAATACAAAACTCATTAAATTACTCATAGGGGTTCTCACAGGAAATGATGGCAAAGCCATCTATTTCTTTCTCCCAGCTCTCGTCATCTTCACCATCGTTATAATAATATGCCTGTCTCTTTAAAATTTCCCGTCGTTCTGCCTCTATTGCAGCCAATCTAATTTTGTATCAAGTTTATCTAGTCATATTGTCACTGACTCTGCTTATCTCCAGCTGTACGTCTTTCGTCCTTTTTTATGTCTATACGTTCTTCTTATCTAGCTCTAAGTTCTTCCTTCTTCTCTTCCCTTACGTGTTCTTCAAACTTCACTCTTTTATACTCCTAGTTTCTCTCCCGTATAAGAGATTAATTCCCCCGTTTTCCTAATAGATGCGATTTTTTCCTCTGTGCTCATTTTTTTGTTTTGCTTCTAGTTTTTATTAATTGATATGATTAGCTTAAACGCCACCAGCAGAACCTCATCACACAGATGAGGTCAGAATACTGCCCAACGAGGAGCTATCTGAGTAGATTAAACCCCCTGCGGGACCCGAGCTGCCGTGATTGTGGACAGGCGCCGGAGACAGTAGAGTACCTTCTAGCCGGGTGCCCAACATTAGCGACTGGTGTGACTGGGGTGCTCCCAGCCATCCACGTCAAGAGCCTGTTGTCAGGGACTGCCCAGCAGATGAGGCAGGGCTGTTCTATACTTGCAGGGGCAATTAAAGCGCAATAGCTCGGTCCCTTACGGTGAATGAAATATTTCAGCTTGGACCAACCGCGGTATCTTCAAATACATTCTTGGTATAATTTAAATTTTTAACAAGGTTAAATTAATCAAATACACATAAAACTATATAAACAAACATACAAATTTAATAACTTGTCTGGGTTGTGAAATGTCCTTCCTGAAGTTAAATAAATATTAATTTAAAAAAAAAACACACACAGCGCATACGTTATAGTTCCACACAAGAGGTTCTTGCATCAATTGGCAATGGTCACACTAGAACAATAATTGTTAAATGACCCTGGCATTGCACGAAATACAGTCATTACTTTGTAAATGGCCGGACAGGTCCACGGGATAACGATAGATCACTGGACAGGGCGTAGGTCAATCGCCGACACTGGACAGTTCGTGGTAACTCGCCAATACAGGATCGGGCATATGCATCTAGATGTAGGACATGATGTTGGTGGCTCTTTGAAACAGGACAGGGTCTTTTTTTAATTGGGTGTCCGAACAGGACCACAGGACATCGACAACTCACTGGACACAGGACAAGATGTAGGCACTCGCCGACACAGGATGGGGCGCTGGCAGTTTGGTACCGGACAGGACGTTGGTGGCTTGTGGGTACAGGACATGACGTTGGTGGCTCGTGGGTACAGGGCAGGAGGTTTGTGGCGCGTGGGTACAGGGCAGGACGTTGGTGGCTCGTTGGTACAAGGCAGTACGTTGGTGGCTCGTGGGTACAGGACAGGACGTTGTAGGCTCGTTGGAAACAGAACAGGACGTTAGTGGCTCGTGGTTACAGGACAGGGCGTTGGTGGCTCGTGGGTACATGACATGACGTTGGTGGCTCGTGGGTACAGGACAGGATGTTGGTGGCTCGTGGGTACAGTACAGTACGTTGGTGGCTCGTGTGAACAAGACAGAACGTTGAAGGCTTGTAGGTACAGGACAGGAAGTTGGTTGCTCGTGGGGACAGGGCAGGAAGTTGGTGGCGCGTGGGTGTAGGCAGGAAGTTGGTTGCTCGTGGAGACAGGGCAGGAAGTTGGTGGCTCGTGGGTGCAGGCAGGAAGTTGGTGGCTCGTGGGGACAGGGCAGGAAGTTGGTGGCTCGTGGGTGCAGGCAGGAAGTTGGTGGCTCGTGGGGACAGGGCAGGAAGTTGGTGGCTCGTGGGGACAGGGCAGGAAGTTGGTGGCTCGTGGGTGCAGGCAGGACGTTTTCAACAAGGGATGTTGACCTCTCACTGGACACGTAGCTCACTACCAACAGGACGTAGATAAATCGATTTATGGAAGGACGTAGTTATTTCACTGTAAATTGAAAAGGACGTTGGAAACTTGATGAAGGGTTGGGCTGGGTAATTTGACTGGAACTGGACACTAGGCTGTTATTTCACTATCGACATGATGTAGATAACTCGATACAGGGAAAGTGGTAGTCAATTCATTGGAACTCAAAAGGACATTGATAACTTGAATAAGGGCCAGGCGTAGTTAACCTGATGCAGGGTAGGACATAACCAGCTTGAAACAGGACGTAAGTAGTTAATGGAGTCCCTGGCTTATGTAACTCATAAAAACTTGATAAACGATGGCAGCGAGGCTCTGACCATAAAATACGGGATTATGCTATGATGGCTGTTTACTTCACTAAAGTTGAAACATAAGAACGTTCCTGTACTTTACCTCAAAGTAAGAAAATGACGAGGTTTACCAATCCCGAATGAGAAGCCCGTATGTCAACTCCTAAGTCTACTTGAATTGATTAATTTGTCAAGCTCGTTCACCCGTTGAAATCGTCATACCATTATTACTATCACTGAATAAACTCAAGTCCTTTTCATAATAATCATAACTTTAATATCTAAATATGTATTATACGCATACACTCATGAATAAAGCGCAGTTCACTATCAGACATAAATAATCCACATTCCGCTTCTTAATAGTTCATAAATACTTTTTATACAACACTAGAACATTGTGTTAAATACTATTTATACAACACTAGAACATTGTGTTAAATACTATTTATACAACACTAGAACATTGTGTTAAATACTATTTTTACAACATTATGCACGGTTATTTGTAGAAATTCATTTTTGTTTATTCTTTAATATGTTATTGTCAGTTTGACATTCATCACTAAACATCGCGGCTGTCCCATTTGTCTTGACTGTGTTTCATCCAGCAGTTCCATAGAATTATAACCAGTTCAAACCATTTTTTTTTTTTTTTGCTTGGCTAGCGAAGATTTCTTCTTGCTCAGAGAGGAGAATTTTGTTAACATCAAGGCATTATTATGGCATTTCCCAGTACCTCGATGTCGGGGTTACTCCGTTCCAATATTTAATTCATGAACTAAAGTACATACATATTAATAGAAGCTATGTAGTTTTCTCTGGACTGGCTTAAATGATTTACTCTTTATAGCCAAAGAGGAGCGTATTGAAAATACATACCGGTGAAAAGCAACATATTTTATTTCTGTAGTAAATACCTTATACTTCTATAGTTCTATAGATCTATGTTAGTTACGGTTGTAACAACATCAACATAATATCCAGAGGGGAAAACACATGCTTTCAATGTTTCCAACTGCACCAATTATCACACTTAAATTTTAGGTATTTATTTACTACCACCATTAAACATTTGCTTGAAAACGATTACTATTTTTATTTCAATTTGTATTGAAAACAATAAATTTACATCCACATTTAAAGTTTGCTTGAAAACCAAATTGCTTCCATTTTTATTTTTAAACAATGGATTTCCTGCCGCTCACAATGATGCTTAAAAAAAAAAATAATGTTATGAAACAAAATGTTAAATTTTCATTCTTTGCCGTCCTTTTTAGAAAACTGCTTACATTAACTTCACTATTGTTCGTGTGTTTCTTACTTTCCTGCTGGCTGCGTGACAAAATCTTCGGATGGCTAATTGACCCATTTTCCATCAACCTATCAAGATGAAACTTCATCCCCTTTCCCAACTCCAAAAAATTAGTTTTTCCTGCTTTTCAAGAGGGGGGGGGGGCGGTGGCAATTATTACACAAAAATAAAATTCCCGTTTACTATGCTAAATGTGACACCTAAAAATAGCGTGAGTTCGTTTGGTGCGTACTCTTTGATATCAATCTGCTGTGAAAAAGCAGGTGGATCATTAGAATATTAATATAAAATAAAGTGATACGAATTGCAAAGAAATCATTTATATGCAGAAAAAAAACAACTTAGGTTTTTTGGTATTTTTAATTTCCCTCTCATCTAAGGCATCTCCTAACTGGCTCCTTAACAATACATCTCCTACCTGTTTCATAGTCAATAAACCTCCTACCTGGCTCATAGTCAATACACTTCCTACCTGACACATTATCAATACACCTCCTACATGGCTCATAGTCATGACACCTCCTCATGGGCTCATTATCAAAACAGCTCCTACCTGGCTCATATCCATTACAACTCCTACATGGCTCATTATCAATGCACCTCCTACCTGGCTCATTATCAATAAACCTCCTACCTGGCTCATAGTCATTACACCTCCTACCTGGCTCATTATCAATACACTTCCTACCTGGGTCATAGTCATTACACCTCCTACATGTCACATTATCAATACACCTCCTACATGGCTCATTATCAATACACCTCCTACCTGGCTCATAGTCATTACACCTCCTACCTGGCTCATTATCAATACACTTCCTACCTGGTTCATAGTCATTACACCTCCTACCAGGCTCATAGTCATTGCACCTCCTAACTGGCCCATTATCAATACACTTCCTAACTGGGTCATAGTCATTAAGCCTCCTACATGGCTTGTCGTCATTACACCTCTTTCCTAGCTCATTTTCTATACACCTCCTACCAGGCTCATTATCAATACACATCCTACATTGCTCATTATCAATACACCTTCTACCTGGCTCATAGTCATTACACATCCTACCTGGCTCATAGTCATTACACCTCCTAAGTGGCTCATTATCAATATACCTCCTACCTTGATCTTAGTCATTACACCTCCTACCTGGCTCATTATCGATTCACCTCCTACCTGGCTCATTATCAATACACCTCCTACCTGGCTCATGGACATTACACCTCCTACCTGGCTCATGGTCGATTCAACATTCGGTATTTATTTTGGCCCACCACTAGCGTAAATTTTCTGATTCCTCATTTAATCAATTGCATGCTTCATTTCATCATTTCAGAAATACTCTCTTATGGACAGACAAGGACTGCATAACGTCAACTGAAGGTGATACCAGCGTAAGATGTGTGTGCAGCCACTTGAGTGTCTTTAGTATACTCATGAGTCTTCACCCAGCAGTGAGTTTACTCTAAAAGTTTTAATTTTAGACAAAAAATAAGTGTCTAAAATACTATATGTTAAACCATCTTAGTTAGTGTCAAGTGAGTTTTACTTTAAAAGTTTCAATTTGAGACAAAAAATAAGTATCTAAAATACTATAGGTTAAGCCATCTTATTAAGGGCCCCGATGAGTCCTCATGGAGCAGTGAGTTTTACTTTAAAAGTTTCAATTTTAGACAAAAAATACATAAACATTTTTGGTGTATATTTTAAAAGTGTTTACGTTCTGTCTCCAAATGTGTAACAAGTTCCGAGGGGGGTGGGGGGGGGGGGCAACCTCCCACCCATACACATACACACACATACTAACACACATACAGCCGGGAAATGAGAATAATAATAAAAAAAAAAAAAAAGGCCTAATATAAAAATAAAAATAAAAAAAAATATTAATAAAAAAAGGGGGGGGGGGGGGGGGGGGGGGGGGCAACCTCCCACCCATACACATACACACACATACTAACACACATACAGCCGGGAAATGAGAATAATAATAAAAAAAAAAAATAAGGCCTCATGTTACAATGAACATAAAATAATATATTTATAAAAAAACATTTCTGAGATTTATAGGAAAACATTTCACTGACATCAATGACCACTGGAATAATGGTTAATTATAAATGGAATTTATTTCCAATAACCAATGGAACAATAGTTAATTATAAATGGAATTTATTTCCAACAACTACTGGAACAATAGTTAATTATCGATGAAATGTATTTTCTAATAACATTTGGAAACAAAAGTTAATTATTACGAAATGTAATACTAGTAACCACTGGAAGAATAACCCATTATATTAGGATGTATTCATTATTATGAAACATTCCCAGTCTGATGATTAAAATATTTTCCCTGCATTCAGCATACGACAGACACCCGTCTTGTGAAATTGACTAAAGTAGGACTCAGCATTTCGGTGGTATGTTTATCCATAGCACTGGGCGTCTTTGTCTATGTATTTAAGTAAGTTGAATTTTAATGTTTTTGTATATTTTTCATACAGTGGTTACACACAAACAATAAATCTCTATAACAGTGGGTTTCTTTTAATTAATGGATAGACTAAGCAATATGGCCACAGTGGTCAAGTTGTGTGATACCCACAGTGAGCCGGACGTCTGATGGCCAAAGTAAGCCACAGTGGTCGTTCAGTTTGATGGCCACAGGGATCCAGCCATGTGGTGGAAACAGAAGTCCAGCCGTTTGATGGCCACACGATGATTGCCAAGGAGAGAGCAGACAAAGAATTTGTACAGTTATAGAATATTTTATAATACCTCACATCTTGCAAATTTATCACATATATATTTAAAAGTATGAAAATGTGCTTGTGTATTTGATTTTTTGTTCCTTATAAGATTACACAGATTGATGGATCTTGACCAAACTTGGCATTATACAAAGCGAATTCCAGAATCAATTTTTTTAGGGGGAACATTTTAAAAAAATATTTCGCATTGGACCGGGGACCCTAATTTCGTTTGTTTATTTTATATTAGCTATATAAATAAAATTACCATCTAATACAGTGAACGATAGTCAACTCATAACACCCATTCCTTTGGGGCCCAGACAAAATTTTATTTCCATCTATCTGCTATCTAACAACTTATAACACTATAGATTACAGGAAAATTAATAAATCTAGGCAAAAGTTAGTGGCAATACACTTGATAATCTATATTAAAATAGCATGATAAATTATGTATGTGGGCTATAGAATCATCAAAGGTCTTATGAAAATATCATTGCTTATGTGGACTATAGAACCGTCAAAGTCCGTATTAAAATAACATGAGAAATTGTTCACATGGGCTATAGAACACTCAAAGTCTGTATTAAAATACCATGGTAACTTGTTCATATGGGTTATACAACACTCAAAGTCCGTATTCAAAAAACATGGTAATGTTTTCATGTGGGCTATACAACCCTCAAAGTCAGAATTTAAATAACATGGTAAATTGTTCATGTTGTCGACAGAATCCTCAAAGTTCTTATGAACATACTATTGTTTATGTGGACTTTAGAACCCTCAAAGTCCGTCAATTTTGATTTTTTTTTTTTAAATGTATCCGCATCTTACCGTATTTGCAGCCCATATTTCCATATTTACAACTAATTTAATATAATTATGTGAATACAAGTGAATTAAAAAATAGTTTGCATTTCAAAGAAAATGTAATTTAATAAATCGTTTCAAGTGTTAACAATATAAGTGTCTGATGAAAATCTGTCATCTCCGGTGATCTTCAGTTAGTATTGTCCCATCAACTTTTATGAAGTTAAACACCACTTTCCATTCAAATTTTGTGAAGTTAAACACTACTTTGCCATTAACTTTTACGAAGTGAAACATTGCTGTCACATCTATCAATATGAAGTGAAAAATTACATTCAAATCAACTGTTATAAGATTAGAGCACAACTTCCTATACAACTCATTATGAAAATAGAACACAACTATCTTACGTACCATTTTAGAGTTTTCCAGCAATAATCATTAACATTAGATTTACTAAATTCCCTTAACATTTCGGCAATTAAATACATCTTCAAATAAATACCCCTCCTTCATATGTTGGAAATATTCAACAAAAGCAACTTGAATAAAAGATGAGTTAAGTGCCCCTTGGATATAATTGAGTTTTTAAGTTAAAGTGTACAGATTGCTTGACGTGTGAATTTTAAGTAAGTCAAATTGTAAAGATAGCTTGATTTGTGAAATGTAAGCAGGTCACAGTATAAAATCGCAAATGAACATGTCAACATTGTTTTCCAATTTATTGTATTGGAAATTTGTTGTTTTCGTTTCTTGGAAAATGAAAGAAAAAATAAAGGGAAAGAATAAAAAGTCAAAATTATATTTATTGTTTAATCATCTTATGTAAAAAATAATTACTCAAACTTAAAGTGAACAATTTTTTTCAGATATGAGATTCATTTATAATTAACCTGGGGAGAGGGGCCGAAAAAAATATTTACAAATTAGGGGCTATTGCAAGTCATAATCAAGCAAAATTGCCTATTCAATTGAAATATGAATTGCTCATTTATAAAAATGTGTTGCTGAATTTCCTGTATGATTTTAAAATTAATTAATTCAATGAAAATGCGTACGAACTATAAATGAGTATTTAAAGTTTATTATCATCAAAATATTATTTTCATTACAAATCCTTAATATCATTCAATGCCATGTATTTAATCTTTTAGGTCGATGAACGTTGACAAAGCAGTTATACACATCTGCTTATGTTGCTCCTTGCTAATCTCCTCTTTAATTTTTTTACTCGGAATAGAGGCTACAAACCACAAGGTGAATTTATTTAGAAATTTTCTCAAATAAGATTGAAATATTGTTTTTGAAGAATGTTTTCTTAAAACCCTGCAGTGACATTGAGGATATTGAAATAATTTTTGCGGTAATTTTGAGAATAGAGAAGGTGTTTTTATTAAAGTTGATTTTGCATTAAATTTGAAAATATAGAAGTAGTGTAAACAATGTCTTTGGGAATAATGAATTTGACTTTGCATTGATTTTGAAAAAACTTTGAGTGGTGTTTGCAATGACTTTAGGAACATTGTAGTAGTACTTGCTGTGAATTTTGGAAAATTTAAGTAACGTTTGCAGTGATTTTTTGGAATATTAGAATAAGGTTTGCAATGAATTTGAGAAAAGTGAAGTATATTTTGAAGTAACTTAGAAAATAAAGAAGTAGTGTATGTAGTAACTTTGAAAAGTAATAGTGTTTGTAGTGATTTTTGGGAAGAGAGAATTAGTGTGTGCTGTATCTTCGAGAATAGAGAAGTTGTTTTTGGAATAAGTAGTATGTTTGCAGTAATTTTGAGAATAGAGATAAAGTTTTTGCCGTTTGAAAATAGAGAAGTAATTTTTCACACAGAGAAGTATGTTAGTTATTATTTTTGGAATAGCAAATTAGATTTTTTGCTGTGACTTTGGGAATAAAGAAGTTGCTTTGCTGTGTCTTTGAGAATAGAGAAGCTGCTTTGCAGTGACTTTGGGAATATTGAATTAAGGTTTCAGTAAATTTTGAATATCGAAGTAGTGCTTGCTGTGATTTTGGGAATATGCAAATATATTTTGGAGATAATTTGGGAGTAGAGAAATAGTAATAGCAGCAACTTTTGAAAAATTGAAGTAGTGTATTTCATGAGTTTAGAAATATTGAAGTAGTTAATGCAGTGACTCGGAATATTGTTGAAGCGTGTGCAAAGACTTTGGGAATGTTCACATAGTGTTTATAATAAGATTTGAAATATTGATAAATAAATGTTTATCGTTTAGACAGCAGCATAGTATACCATGGTGTAAATGTTTAGTATTTACACATCAGCATAGTATACTATTGTATAAATGTTTATGGTTTAGACATCAGCATAGCATGCCATGGTATTCATGTTTAGTATTGAGGCATCAGCATAGAATACTATGGTATAAATGTTTATGGTTTAGACATCAGCATAGTATGCCATGGTATAAATGTTTATGGTTTAGACATCAGCATAGTATACCATGGTATAAATGTTTTCATTTAGACATCAGCATAGTATACTATGGTATAAATGTTTATGGTTTAGACATCAGCATAGAATACTATAGTATAAACGTTTATGGTTTAGACACCAGCATAGTATGCCATGGAATACATATTTAGTATTTAGACATCAGCATAGTATACTATGGTATAAATGTTTATGGTTTAGACATCAGCATAGTATGCCATGGTATACATGTTTAGTATTTAGACAACATCATAGTTTCTTATGGTATAAATGTTTATGGTTTAGACATCAGTATAGTATGCAATGGTATACATGTTTAGTATTTAGACATCAGCATATTATACTATGGTATAAATGTTTATGGTTTAGACATCAGCATAGTATGCAATGGTATACATGTTTAGTATTTAGACATCAGCATATTATACTATGGTATAAATGTTTATGGTTTAGACATCAGCATAGTATACAATGGTATACATGTTTAGTATTTAGACATCAGCATATTATACTATGGTATAAATGTTTATGGTTTAGACATCAGCATAGTATACCATGGAATAAATTTTTTATGGTTTAGACATCAGCATAGTATACTATGGTATAAATGTTTATGGTTTAGACATCAACCTTGTATACTAAGGTATACATGTTTATGGTTTAGACACCAGCATAGTATGCAATGGTATACATGTTTAGTATTTAGACATCAGAATAGTATACTATGGTATAAATGTTTATGGTTTAGACATCAGTATAGTATGCCATGGTATACATGTTTAGTATTTAGAATCAGCATAGTATACTATGGTATAAATGTTTATGGTTTAGACATCAGCATAGTATGCCATAGTATAAATGTTTATGGTTTAGACATCAGCATAGTATACCATGGTATAAATGTTTTCATTTAGACATCAGCATAGTATACTATGGTATAAATGTTTATGGTTTAGACATCAGCATAGTATGCCATGGTATACATGTTTAGTATTTAGACAACATCATAGTTTCTTATGGTATAAATGTTTATGGTTTAGACATCAGTATAGTATGCAATGGTATACATGTTTAGTATTTAGACATCAGCATATTATACTATGGTATAAATGTTTATGGTTTAGACATCAGCATAGTATGCAATGGTATACATGTTTAGTATTTAGACATCAGCATATTATACTATGGTATAAATGTTTATGGTTTAGACATCAGCATAGTATACAATGGTATACATGTTTAGTATTTAGACATCAGCATATTATACTATGGTATAAATGTTTATGGTTTAGACATCAGCATAGTATACCATGGAATAAATTTTTTATGGTTTAGACATCAGCATAGTATACTATGGTATAAATGTTTATGGTTTAGACATCAACCTTGTATACTAAGGTATACATGTTTATGGTTTAGACACCAGCATAGTATGCAATGGTATACATGTTTAGTATTTAGACATCAGAATAGTATACTATGGTATAAATGTTTATGGTTTAGACATCAGTATAGTATGCCATGGTATACATGTTTAGTATTTAGAATCAGCATAGTATACTATGGTATAAATGTTTATGGTTTAGACATCAGCATAGTATGCCATGGTATAAATGTTTATGGTTTAGACATCAGCATAGTATACCATGGTATAAATGTTTTGATTTAGACATCAGCATAGTATACTATGGTATAAATGTTTATGGTTTAGACATCAGTATAGTATACCATGGTATAAATGTTTTGATTTATACATCAGTATAAGTTTTGGGCGGATATTTTTTTTTAAAATTATTTGTTTTTAATTGTAATTTGAATATTCTGATAGTTGCTGTGCAAAGCTGTAGCTGCATCTCTACAATACTTTTTGCTTGCTGCTCAATTCAGTATGATGGCTGAAGGATTTCAGCTCTTAAGTTTGATTATTTTTCCATTCAGAACAAAAAGCAATTGGACATTTCTGGTGCCGGTCATTTTTGGTAAGTAAAATACCGTGAATTTGGACATGCGCAAATGTTTTGTAAAAAGAGCATAATCAATTATTAGTACAGTTCTTTGGTAAAGGAGTTTCATATGTTAGAAAACATGATCTAAAGCTCATTAAATAGTTTATCATCTATTAGAACATATATCTTAATGGCTGGTAATTAGATTATCATACCTTAGGACATATATCCCAATGGTTTGTAAATAGAGTATCATGTATTAGACCATATATAAACGGTTGTTAAGTGGAGCTGCATGCATTAGAGCATGTCAATCGTCGTAAGTAGAATGCTTGCATAATGACATGTGCCAATGTTTAATAAGTATGTACTAAAGAAATGCAACAGGTACCAATGGTTTGTAAGTCAATGGTCATGAGTTCATTACGTACCAATCTGTTTTTTTAAAAATGTAATATCTTCTCTTAAGATTTGGCTCAATAAATTAGAAAAAAAATATTTGCAATGTAAACGATGCTAGACCTAGTGTTTATAAAAATATTATATTTATATACAATCTACATTTTCTATAACATAGAAAACTAGAAATTCAAAAATATGATGTTACTGGACATAAGCGCTGTGAGTCTGCAAAAACTGCTTCCCCTCCTGAGGGCCTAGTTTGCATCACATGACCCCTTTTCCCAAGGAGTCTTTCGGTTGGGAATTAGGTATTAAGACGGGTCTTTAGCTTAAGGTTGTCGATTCCACCCTAATAGTGTGCCACGCCCCGTACAGTCAAAACTCTTGTGAGAACCACCAACTTTCAATGGTAGCTCTCTGCTTCACGCAGACATGCTCCACTGTACTACATTACTCTACTCTACAATATGGAGGCTATATAAACGTCAGTTAATATTTAAGTACATGTTGACACACTTTTGTCTGATGTGAAGTCATTATGACATTTTGATGGCTCTATCTATGTGTAAATAATTGTTTCATTTTCCCCCATTTAAGGAACACCCTTGCTGGTTCTCATTATCTCAATGGCTGTTGCAAGCGATGGATTTGGGACCTCAGAAGTGTGAGTAGATTCTGTGTTGCGATAAGATCCCTCCTTTTTGTTACATTTAAAAGGTCTTCAAGAATGACTTATCAATTAAACTATTGATATTTTAACTATCAAGGTTCAGATTTTTGTATTTTTAACCCATCCCCCAACCAAATTTTTGCAGAAGTCTCTCCTACCACTACAAAAGTAACAATGTATTTTCTTTAAAATCCGAAAAAGAAAAAAAGCACGTAATTATTTGAAGAGTTTAAGGGGGAAAGAAAACAGTGATGTCAGTTTTTTGAAATTTTGTTTAGATCTAATTATTGTAAACAAAGGAGATTGGCGAACTTATAAAATTTGACTTGCTACTTATTATACCAAGTAAAATGTTAAGGAATAAATCGAAAATAAAAAAAAATAAAAAAAATCAATAGACATTTATATCAAAAATTAAAAGTCAATGAGGAAAAAGGGTGGGACAAGAGACGCTGATGCTGTATCCTAGATGTTGTATCCAAGATGTTGTGTTTGAGAAAACTGCAAGAGGAATGAGTTGGAACTAAGTTTTAATTTTTTGTTTGGGGTGCAATGTAGCTTTTAAGTACATCCATCAAGTTATTATATCACCAATATTAAAGCCGAGGCAGTCGCCTGTATCATTTATACCTAATGCTAGAGCAGCCACCTGTATCAACAAAATCTACAGCTGAGGCTCTCACCTGTATCACCTATAATTAAAGCTGGGGCAGCCACCTGTATCAACAAAATCTACAGCGGAGGCTCTCACCTGTATCACCTATAATTAAAGCTGGGGCAGCCACCTGTAGCAAGAAAATCTACAGCCGAGGCTGTCGCCTGTATCACCTTTACTTAAAGCCGACACTGACCCCTACATTGTCGGCACTGATACCTAAAATAATAACTTAATTCCGATTATCAACTTCTTATATTTTATAGATGTCATTTTATTGACATAGATAACGGCCATCTTATAAAGATGTCACTTTATTACCATAGATTGTTTTAATTTTATAAAGGTAACTATTTATAACAATACATTGTTATTATCTTATAAAGTTTTTCAATAGATAAGATGACCAATATTACAATGTAATGTAATATTATTTAGAGGGATCATCTTACATAGATGTCACTTTACCACTGTCGATATAGGCCACATCATAAGTTGTAAATCTAAACCTAATACAGTTGCCATCTTAAAAGTTTTCCAAATAATACCTAAAAAGTGTGGTCATCTTATAAGTTGTCATCTTAATACTTAATGCTGTGGTCACCTTATCAGTTGTCTATGTAATACCTAATACAGATGACATGTTATGAGTTGTCAATGTAATACCTAATACAGTGGTAAACTTATAAGTGTCAATGATATACCTAATAGAGTGGTAATCTTATAAGATGTCAAAGTTATACCTTATACAGTGGCCATCTTAAAAAATGTCAAAGTAATACCTAATGCAATGGTCTTTTAATAAGTTAACAACGTAATACCTAAAACAATGGTCATCTTACAAATTGTCAATGTAATACCTAACAAAGTAGTTATATTATAAGTAGTCAATGTAATACCTAATAAATTGGAAATCTTCAAAGTTATCAATTTAATATCAAATAGCAATGTCTTCAAATAAATATAATACCTACTTCAGTGGTTATCTTATAAGTTGTCAATGCAATACCTAATAGAGTGGTCATCTTATAAGTTGTCAATATAATATCTAATAGGATGGTAATATTACAAATAGTCAATATAAAATCAAATACAACAGTATTATTATTGGTTGTCAATGCAAAAACTTATTCAGTGGTTATCTTATAAGTTGTTAATTTTATCCTTGTAAAGTTGTCATCTTATAAGCTGTCAAGGTAATATTTATACCATGGTTATCTTATAAGTTATCAATGAAATACCTAAATTAGTGGTCATGTTATAATGTGTCAATGTAATACTTAAAACAGTTGCCATGTTATAAGGTTGTCAATTTAATATCTAATGCATTGGCCTTCAAAAAGTATTTGTCAGTTTTATACATTATACAGAAATTATTTTATAGGTTGTCAATGTTATAACTAATGAAGTGTTCTTTAAATAAGTTGCAAATGTAATACCTAATGTAGTGGTCAGCAAATATATTGTCAAAGTAATAACTAATACAGATGCCAAGTTATAAGTTTCAATGTAATATATAATACAATGGTCTTCAAGTTAGTTGTCAATATAAATCTTAATGCAGTAGTCTTTAAATAAGTTGTGAATGTAATACCGTAAACAATGGTACTGATGCGCAGTTGTAAGTTGTCAATGTAATATCTAATGCAGTGTTGTTTAAATAAGTTTTCAATTAAAAACCTTAAACATTGATTATCCTACAAGGTGTCAATGTAATACATAATGCAATAGTTATCTTATAATTTGTTAATGTAATACCTAATACAGTGGTCATCTTATAAGTTGTCAATTTAATACCTAATACAGTAGCCATGTTTTAAGTCGTCAATTATTACCTAATACAGTGGTCAGCGTACAGGTCGTAAATGTAATACATAATAAAGTGGTTATCTTATAAGTTGTCAATGTAATACCTAATGAAGTAGACTTCAAAAATTGTGTCATTGTAATACCTAATGCAGTAGTCTTTAAATGAATTGTCAAAGTAATTACTAATGCAGTAGTCTTCAAATAAGTTTTCAATGTAATACTTAATTCAATGGTCATCTAATAAATTGTCAATGTAATACAGTGGTTTTCTTTAAAGTTCTCAATGTCGAACCTAACAAAGTGGTCATCTTATAATTTGTCAATTTAATACCTAATACAGTAGTCATATTATAAGTTGTATATTTAATACCTAATGAAGTGATCTTTTAAAAGTTAGTCGATGTAACATCTAAGGCATTGGTCTTCAAATAATTTGTCAATGTAATTCCTAATGCAGGGGTTATCTTATAAGTTGAAAATGTAATACCTAAAGAAGTGGTCTTCAAAAAAGTTGTCATTTAGTACCTAATGCAATGGTATTCAAAAAGTTTATGAATGTAATACCTAATTCAGTGGTCTTCAAATAAGTTGCCAATGCAAAACCTAATACAATGTTCATCTTATAAGTTGCCAATTTAATACTTAAATTCAGTGGTCTTCAAATAATGTGTACATGTAATAACTACTATAGTGGCTATCTTATAAGTTCTCAATGTCATACAACAGACAGCAGTCATTTTATATTGATCTCAATTGAGTAGTTACCATCATTACATGCATTTTATAGATTTCTCCATGTTAAAATAGTTGTTTTTTTTCACTCTCCATTTCAGATGCTGGATAGCTAATGATAAAGGTCTTAAATGGGCGTTTGTAGGACCTGTGATAGGTGTTGTATCGGTAGGTTCTTTCAAATTTGTTATTTATTATGATTTTAAAAGACACACAAAGCCGCTTGTAGTAAATATGTGAAGAGCAATGTTAAGACGAGATTTAAGAAGCGTGTTTGATTATTTTCTTTTTTGTAATAACATTCTATGCAATGTAAGCAATATTATTTTCTATTAAAGAAATAAGCTTGCCTATAAAAATAACTTTTAAAATCTATAGCTGTAGATAATTGTTTCGTTCACATTTTACATAAACTTAATTTACAATCACTTTTTTTTGTCATCAAAATTTTACAGTTCAACGCGATAGTATTATTAATAGTGCTTAAAACAATTGTTGGAATGGATAAAGTGAGGGCAGCGGATACCAAAGCAAAGATTAAGTGAGTACAATTATATTCATTTTATTGTGTTAAGGATGACTTCTTCTCTTGTTAATAACAACATCATACATTACATACCTTATGTGACGCACATCCTTACCTTGATGTCATCAATCTCAAGGGTATGAGGATCACTGTTGTGATGTTCAGGATAACAGTAATTGATGTTCACTCAAAATAGTGCAAACATGAGTGAAGATGGTGTGAGATTGTTGATGATGGGCGAGAGAGTATATATAGAGAGCTTTGTGCCTTGGAGAGGTTGTCGTGTCATATAGAGAGCTTTGTGCCATAGAGAGTTGGTCGTGTCATATAGAGACAGTTGGATTATATTCACGGTGAAGGTTGATGTGTGTTTCTGAGTTCGGTTGGACGTATTTTTAAGTAATAATTATTTGTAATTCTATTGGAATTTGAGGACATTCTACATAACAATTTAATATGGGATGACGTGAATAATCTTATAACTTGATATGATTTCCTCAGTGTTGTAGAGCATTGGGCTAAACGTATAGTTTAAGTTGCACTAGTCAGGGGGATGGAGGCGGAGACCATGCCTCATAAGTAGTCGTCTGATCTTAAGATTAGATAGACAGTCAACATTTCGAAAATCAACAAGAGTGTATGTGATATGTATTCTGATATTGTGATTTTAGAATCACTCAACTTCCTACATACATATATGTGACATGCATTCTTACCTTGTCAATATTAGTAAGAAACATACAAGTTGGTATTTGAATTGCATTCTTAACTTGTCAATATTAGTAAACAATATACATATTGGTGTGTGGGATGCATAATACTGTGTCAATATTAGTAATCAAAATACATAACTGTATGGTGCATGCAAACTTAACTTTATAAACATCAATATTTCTAACGATATTTCTTTTATTCCAGGGCTACTGTTTGGGCAATAGTAGTGCTATGTCCGTTGTTGGGAGTTACTTACGTAACCGGTCTGTTAACTTTCACAGGGCAGAATATAATTTGGGAATTTGTCTTTGTCTCCCTCAACGCATTCCAGGTGAGTAGCCCCCCCCCCCTCCTTTTTTGTTTGTTCAATCAGTAGATCTAAGTATGACAAAAAAGGGTTGGGTTTGTCAAAGGCAAGTCAGTGGATCTAAGTATGACAAAGAAGGGATGGATTTGTAAAGGCAAGTCAGTGGACCTAAGTATGACAAAGAAGGGTTGGGTTTGTCAAAGGCAAGTCAGTGGATCGAAGTAAGACAAAGAACTGTAGGTTTGTAAAAGGCAAGTCATTTGATCTTAGTATGACAAAGAAGGGTTTGGTTTGTCAAAGGCAAGTCAGTGGACCTAAGTATGACAAAGAAGGGTTGGGTTTGTCAAAGGCAAGTCAGTGGACCTAAGTATGACAAAGAAGGGTTGGGTTTGTCAAAGGCAAGTCAGTGGATCTAAGTATGACAATGAAGGGTTGGATTTGTCAAAGGAAAGTCAGTGGATATAAGTATGACAAAGAAGGGTTTGATTTGTCAAGGGCAAGTCAGTGGTTCTGACTATGGGAAATAAGGGTTGGGTTTGTCCAAGGTACGTAAGTTGAAAGAGGACGACTGGATAACAAATGGAGACACTTGTGTCCCTTTCTCCCGTATTCATGACATGAAGACCAAGTCAGCAGCTTGTTTCACCTGTGCATGTGGGATTTTTTTTCCATGTGCCATTCACACTATCAATCTCAACATGTTTATGTTTCCCACACTAAGTTCAAAGTAGACGCAGTGGATATTATTTACTATTTTAAAAGTTTGCTGGCTTCATCACAATATTTTTTGTACTTAGAAAAAGTTCACATTGTTTGTTAACAAGTTTTAACTCAATCGAATAGATTGAGTTTAATATTTATTATTTTTTTATCACATTTATCAAATACGTGAAGTTTCATATTTATTAATTTTTTTCACACTAATCATATAAGGGAATTTAAATATGCAGTAAACATTTCACTTTATCCAACTAGTTGAATTTGTTAACATTTGTATTATATCTTCCTTTGACTCAATTCATCAAAATAAATATTTTTATAAATTAACATTTATTAATATTACTACCAAAGTAATATTTAGTTGTTTTTTGTATTATTTTTGTTTTGTTTTTTGTGTTGTTATTTTTTTGGTCATATTTTCCTTTTAGTAAGAAACCATTATTAAAAATTTATTTTTCATTGTTTATTTATTTTTAAAATTGTAATCCTTTTAGTCAACAAAATGATGCCATTATTAAAAATTAAAAAAAAAAAAAGATAATAATGAGCTGACATTAATATTAACTTAAAAGTTATTTATAAGATTAATTTCTTTGATACAAAGGAAAATAAAACTAATAGACAAAGAAAGTAATCCTGACAAGGCGACAATTTAAAGTATTTTATAACATTGAAAGAAATTGTTTATACTTTTTTTGTATTGTTCTCTGATACATTTTGTACGTTTTGTGTGAGACGTATATTTCAATGCTTAGAAAAACATTTTTAAAAAAAATTGAAATGAACCTTTATAATAAAAATGACATCCATCCATCCATCTATGTTGCACTACAGCCCATGTAGGGATTGTCCTGCGTCACTACTTCCTTCCACTAAGACACAAGAATGCGTTTTTTCTCATGCTTCGATTCCCATCCGCTGCAGATCTTTTTTCCACATCATACATTCATCTAAACCTCAGTCTGCCATTAAGCCGTTTTCTTCTGGGGTTTTGGTGATGTACCCTCAGCTAACCGCTGTCATTTGGAATTCGTTCTAAGTGTCCTGCCCTAATTTGTTTTCTTATTTATGCTACCAGCATTAGATCCTGATACAAACTTGAACATTCCTGTTTGTTTCGTATTCTCCATCCATATTCATCCTTTGTTGTTCCATATATTTGAGGTGAAATTTTCTTTACCATGTGTTTAAAAGGATTTCAGCGGTTTTTGATAGGGTCAAAGTTTTATTTGCGTATCATACGAATAATCTCATGACTGTTTTATAAATGGTTTTATTTGTTTTGTCTTCTAATGTTTTGACTTTGGAATATTTGATTACTACCAACGTATGCCCTGTTTACCGCTGATATATTTGTTTCTCTTTTATTTCTATGAGTAATTCGCTTCTTTTATTTATTTAGTTTCCTAGGTATTTGAATTGATTTACATTTTCAAAAGTGTGATCTTTAAATTTTAATGGATAATTTGTCTGCTCTTCTCTTATCGAAGCCATGCAGAACTCTCCTTGCAGTGATGCGTGTTTTAAATCCACAAATGCTGTTAAAATGTCTTTATTACTTTTCCCAAACATTGCTACGTCATCAGAAGTATAAAAGATTCTGATCGGTTTGATTGTCGAGGGTGCCCATTGTTGCGGGTCTTGGATTCCCCTCAGAAAGTATCCTGTTATTGTTCCTTGAGGTGTCAATATGTGTGCATCTTATAACTCTTTCTAATGTTATGATAAATAGCGTACATGACAGTGACCCTCCTTGGCTTTGGCCTCGTATAATCTCAAATTTACTTGAAAATTCTCCCTGAAACTTGATTTTTGCTTTTTGATTTCTTTAATATTATATATATATCAGACTTGTCAATATGTTGGGTATGCCAAACTCTTGTAGAGTCTCACATGGATACAAAATTGATGTCATAGGTCATTGTATAGTCCGCATATAGTCGATGTCCTGGGCAATGTACCCTCTAAGCTTTGCTGGTTCGTGTGCGAAATGATACAGTTGTGTGAAAAGTTTTACAGCATCAATTTTTGTGTGCAAAATTTTAAAGCCCATAAACACTCACTTACATGGAAATTAGCTGCGCGGTTCTCAAAACTGCAGCGTGGCGTCTGTGGGATGGCAAGGAAAAGTTTTAATTTAAAAAAAACAATTTGTTAATAATTCAATTTTTTTTAATAACGTTCATTTATTTTTAATTTCAGGGACTATTCTTCTTCCTCTTTAACTGTTTTGGACAAAGCGACGTAAGTGAAAATAACTTGTTTTTGTGTGTGTCTAATCTCATTCATAGAAATAGTTTGTTTTTCTTTGGTCTAATCTGATTCCTATAAATATCAAAATTTTTGTCTAAGCGCATTCATATTGATGCATAGTTTTTACCTAATTTCATTCATATATGTGCGGAACAATAAATGTCAAAGTCTTGAAGTGCTGGAGAGGAACATTTTTTACCAATGGGACACAAACAATTCTTATTGAAGTCTAAATTATTCCACTGAAATGAAGTTAAAAGAACAATTAAAATGAGAAAATGATGCAATCAGTGTTACTAATGACTATAATGTATTTATAATTTCAGGTTCGAAATGGCCTGAGGGAAAAATACAGGCGCTTCCATTCAAGGCAATTTGTCAGCCCATAGAAGCCAGGCAGAAAGTGTAAGTATCAAATAACCCATAATTCTTCTTAAATTCTTTGAATATGTGTTCTATCATTTAATCCGTTCTAACAGTTTTAAGATCCAACATCTCTACAATTTTTTATTTGTTTCTTTTCTCAATTTTAGACAAAATGTCATAGTAGAATTAAAAACAAGATGATTAATTTTGATATAAAAACTTTGACCTTTGATACTTTCTAACTTGTTATTATATTTTGAATAATAAATAAATCTTCAATTTTACTATGAAGACTTTCTAATGACCAACAAATGAGTTTTAGCAATAACATTTAAATATTATGTAATGCTATTTTTGAAAAATAAAATCCCTTGTGCCAATCACCTTCATTCTGAGCTAACCTCAAAAGAAAAGTTAGTTTTACAAAGTGTAACATGTTCTGTGCACATTTGTTTGAAATATGGGGAAGGTTTATTCAAGTTTTTACTAATAGGGGTTTAACTTGACTATTGTGTAATCAAGTAACTTAGCGTGTATTTTCTATGCAATTGTGCCATTTCAAAATTTTAAAATCTATCTCCCCTTTATTTTTCTTGATCATTAAGAAAATCTTCCTTGATATACATTAATTTATCTAACAAAATCCAATACTTCATTGTTGAATAGTTAAGACACATCTTTAAAAATGTTCCATATTTTTATTAACTTTTTAAAAATTTTAATAGCCTACATCACTTGTGGTCAAAATGTGTTAGAATTTCCAGAATGTATCCCAAGTCCAGGAAATTATTGATGTTTCTTCTTAACTTTTCCAGACCTATGGAAGAAGATGGCTGTTGGAGTGACATCACGTTCAGAAGCATTAATTTCCCATAATCAATCAGCACTTTAAACTGATGAGAGTCTTCAATCAAATTTGAGCTTTAGATGTCAATATCTTGGACTGAGTTGTCTATGGTTTTTGTCTTTGTATATTTTTTTTTTCTTTTGAGAAAGACAAACCCAAGGCAAGAGACAAAAGTAACAATGCAACGACCATTTATAATTTCTGTTATGTATTGATTGCTTATTCCAATTTTTTCTTCTAAGTATGGTGAAAAAATGTATGTTAATTTGTATATAAAATTGTTAAAAGTCAATCAAGTCAACATGTTAAGTATGAATTGAAAAAAAAATTTTTGGTAAGAAAGAAACTTACTGATAAGGCACGTTAAATGCAGTTAAAATAAGATACTCCAGTAAAAAAACTATCATCATTTACTTGTAAAATATATACTTTATTATCTATTTACCTAATAGATATGTAGCTTAATTCTGACTTATTTCAAGCAGATACATATCAATATTTTTGATTAATTAATTAAATACATCTTTTCTTTTTATGACTCACAAAGATATGTAATGTTTATTAAAGCTTAAAATAGATTTAATTTATTTATAAACTATTTATTTTTTGTTTCAAATGTTGGATTTATTATAAAGTTAAAAATGTAAGCTTTAGATATGTGAAAATGTCTGTTTTGATTATGTGTTGGAATGCAATTCTGGGAAAGTACTGTACTATTTTTTCTAGGCAAGTAAATACATGTTGTTAAGACAATATTAAATGAAGTGTTGCTTCTTGTAAGTTCATTGATAATAAAAAAAATGGTCATTTCATATATATAAATATAATTATATGTACTAAGCGCTGAAGACATGCAGAAAAATGTATTTCAAACAGCAATTGAGTCTGTCATTCCTATATTTGAACCCACCCCATACTGAGAAAGCCCTAGTCAACACTGAGACAAAGACTTTGAAATCTACATTACTGACAGCTGCTTCTTTAAATGTCTGAAGCAGTTAAGAAATAGATAACATATTATGTCTACTTTGCATTCTATAAAAATGTAAACTTTTATTGTGAAGACTTTTTTAATAACCAACAAATAGAGTTTTCGCAATAACATTTAAATTTTATGTAATGCTAATTTTGAAATTTAAAATCCGCAATGCGAATCACCTTCATTATGTACTAACCTCAAAAGAAAAGTTGGTTTTACAAAATTTAAAATGTCATGTGCACAAGTTTTTGCTTTCGGCTGCTCAACTTCAAATGTTGTATAATCTAGAAGTTGTGCTTGTATTATTAATGTAATTTTCTTATTTCAAATTTTTCAAATATATATCCCCTTCATTTTTGTTTATTATCAAGGTAATCTTCCTTGATGTGCATTATTTTATCATAAAATAATCAATGTTTTCTTATTGGATAGTCAAGAATCATGTTTAGAAAAGTTCCATCATTTGTTTAACTCTAAAATGTTCAATGTGTTATACTATTCAGAATGTATCCAGAGTCCAGTAATTTATTGATGTTGGTTTTCAACTTTTCCAGTCATATCAAAGAAAGGGGCTAATGGAATGAGACTAGTCCATGGACCATCACTTTGAGAAGCATTTATTTCTCATCATTAATCAGCAATTGAAATAGGTGTGAGTGGTCAATGAAATTTGTGATTTAGATACCAATATCTTGATCTGCATTGTCCTTGGTCTTTCTCTGTGTTTTTTTTAATTTTAGTTTAGAAAGACACACCCAAGAGAAAAGAGAAAAGTAACAATGCAACAAATATTTATCGTTTCTGTTATTTATTGATTGCTTATTCTCAATTTATTGTTCTAAATATGGTGAAACAAATGATGAGTTTTATTTGTAAATAAAAATTTAAAACATCCATCATATGCATGTGTCAAGTAAAAAAAAACAACATTTTGATAAGAATGAAACTTACTGATGAGGCAAACTAAATGCAGTTTACAGAAGATACTCCAGTAACAAAATTAACATCAATGACTTGGAAAATATATAGATCATTATCTGTTTGCATATTAGACACATTTTTTTTTGTATCTTAATTCTTACTTAATACTTAATTCAAACAGATAAATATTAATGTTTTATATAATAATTTGATACATTTTGTTTTTTATGACTTACAAAATTATGCAACATGTTTTATCACTTAGACTAGATTTGTTTTATTTGTTAATATTTTATTTTTATTTTGAAATTGATTTGTCATTAAGTTAAAAATGTAAGTTTTAGATGTGTGAAAATGTCTAGTTTTATATGAAGACTACAGGGGAAAACCCACAGTTGTCCACTTTTTCTATTTTTGAGATAAATGAAATTTTGTGTTTGAAGACTTCAGGAGCATTTGATTTTAAAGATTTCTATTTGAAAGAATTTTTTAATGAAAATGGATTCAATCCCTGATATATAGATGTAATGATTTAGTTACTGAGCCAACATACATCTTCACAATATGCATTTATAACCAAGACATCCATTTTGGACATCAGTTGTTTTTCCCTGGCAATCCTGCACACTTAAATAATTCAAATAGTAAAGACATTCAAAGCACACACTATTTATTAAGACTTTTTCTTATGCAAGCAAACACAGAACTTCTGTCAGTCTGTTAAGATTCTGATGATTCTGAGTCAGAGTCTGATCTTTGCTCTTGGTCTGATTCCTGGCTGCTGAGGTCATCTTGAGGCAGTTGCTCGAAGAACGGTTTATTTCGCTCACTCACAAAATCTTTCAACTTTGATAAGTCTTTAAATTTTGCACTGGAGAGGGGCAGAGGAGCTGTGTAGGCTTGCCTTGGATAATCACATAACTGAGCCACATGGGCTGCTTGAGTCTGCTTTCTGCCTCTTGCTGCACGACCGGATGCTCTAGCCTGTCGGGGAGTAACAGGCACAGAGCTGAAAGGTCCATTCCAGCTGTCCTTGTACATAATGAGGTGAGGATGACCCTTTGAGATCTGAATCTCTCTAAGCGAGCGGGTCTGGAAAGGACATACTGACAAAAAATGTGGTTTAAGAAATTCTGTGAATTTCAAAAACATGTCACTTGTCATATTGATGACATTGTATGGCTCTGGTTTTGTACGTGTTGTCTGCAAAACATTCCTCCAGTCTGCTGGTGTTTCTGCTGGAAACTTTTGATTTACATTGGCCATATCTCTATCACATTCCATATAGGAATGTCCTCGAACTGGAAATGACATTGTGATGTTGTCAAATCGCTCTGTTTTATGAACTAGATAATATAAAAAACGTAATACAGTCCAGTTCTTGTTTTGCCCAGCACAAGAATCACAAAACAACTTGATCTGTTTCACTTCATGTGGCAGCTGATTTGTGAAATAATCATGGAGCATTGAGCACACGTCATCGGAGCCTTTCTTGCCCACAGTCTCATCATAGCAATAGAAATAAACTTTTTGGGATGAAAGGACATGGATGTTGAAGGAGTAGAATGACAGCTGTCTGGAGTAGTATACATCCTGCGTTGAAATGTTGGGGCATGGCAAATTTTTTTGGAAATCAAAGCAGATTGCCTCAAAGTCATTTGAGCGTTGTGCTTCAAATCGAGCAGCTCTTTTCCTCTGGTAGAACACTTCAGCTTTCCTCTGGTGGAGCTCAAGCGAAACATTTAACTCGTTCTTCTGGCTTAATAATGTGTTTTCACCATCAGACTCGACAGGTAGGCCTACTTGACTGTCTACCCATTCCATTTTTTTCTTTATTTTGTCACATACTGAACAAGTGTCTTTCCTTGGATACCCAAATGAAATGTTAAATTTGCTGTTAAAAATACCACGATAGCTTTCGTATGAGCATTTTTGATTCGGGTGTTTCTCCTTGAACATAGTATACATTTTAGAAATGTTCAAGTCCTCTGAAAGGTACAATCTGGTGGTCTTGTTTCTTGCATAATGTGAGGAACGTCCTCTAAATGACTGAATATGCTGAATGATCAGATCAACATCTACAGCAGAAAAAGCATGTGGTCTGATTTTATGTTGCCCTCGCATGTCTTTGCATGGCAAACCTAATTAGGAAAAACAAAATAATAATAAAATTTAATACAAAGAATAAGTTATGATATTTCTATTATTTAATATATTTATAAACATTTCTATTATTATTATCATCTTTTCTCTCGTATTCTAGATTAAAATATATTTAAAAAAACAGAGGAAAAAATGTTAAGATTATGAGTCTTTTGCCCAGATGTAACATGTACAAGTACAATACTTAGTTTTACTAAGTTTTAGTTTTAAGTTAAAGGCTTAACTTTAACATAGTGGCAGTGGCTTCTTTTGTTCTATATCAGTAATATCAAAAATGATTATCATTTATTAAAGAAAGTCTTTACATACTTTCCATTAATAAAAAGTGGTTGGTTTAAATTAAAACAAAATCAGTTAACCCACCTGTGGCTGCTAGGCTTTCCCTGATTCTCCTGACACGGTTTTCTGTCACATCAAATATAGATATAAATCCCTTGACACACACATCAATTCGAGTGCATCTACCATCTCTAACAATATTCATATGGTATTTATAAGAATGGTTGTGAAATTCTGCCTCTGTTGGCTCTTCCTTTCTGCTACGGCGACGCTGAACTGAATGAACTGAAATGAGCGAGGCAAGGAATGCATCCTGCTCATCTTTTGTTTTCAACGAATTGAAATGGGAAATCATCTTTGACCTGTCATCTTCGGTAGTAATCTGGAAGCATTTTAGCACCTTACAGTTACAAGGTGGCCCTGTAACATGATTTCTTAACTTCTCATCTCGAGAAAACTCTCTTTTTCGTCCAGTAACTTGTTTTTTCTTCGGCTTATCTGTGACGATCGGTTTATCTACAACATCCGCCATGTTTGTTGTTTGCAATGTTGCTAGCCGGTCACGTGACTTTTCTCTAGATTCTCATTGGTTTGTACCAAAATAACTTGGACAGCTGTGACTTTTCCTTTGTAAACATTGGACATCGGTTGTTATTCCATTGTAGCCTATTTTTAAATACCTCAATAACGGGTGACTACGGTGGGTTTTCGCTTGTATATTTTCAGAGGTCA